GTGGTGTGGTATTCCATTTCTTGATTATGTCCTTATTTTCTCTTCGAAATACGTGTGCTATCCATTTTAGTTGCTGCTGTTGTTGAAAGTCCACAAGTGATGTGGTACCTGTTATTTCGTAACGATAATTGTTTGTGATCATATAGCGCCAGTCTACGTAGTTTCGAAGAAGGCGGGTTCTCGCTAAGACCTACAAGAATCATTCGCCCGAACCCATTTTTAATCATTGATATGAGAAAGCGGCTTTATGCAGCTGATAGTTTCGACAGTTCTAAACGAGTCTGGTGCAGTCTCCCTTCAGGATGTGAACGGTCATGGGTCTCCACAACTTCCTGTCCTTTTTAGCTTTTAGCACTGCTTGATAATGAGTAGGGATGTTCGAAAGTGTAAAAATAAAACGTTCTTCTTCTCAGTGCCGTGTCATTTCAGGACGTGACGGATCAAGGTTCTCCACAACTTCTTCGTAAGCTTCAGGGATGCGACGTTACAGGACGATTATTTGACTTAATACTTTAATTCCTGTCAAACCGCGAAATAAAGGTCGTGCTAAACGGGTTCTCCTTCAGTTCCCTCCATAAGAATTCTGGTGTTCGCCAAGGCTCTAGCCTGTGTTCAACACAGTTTCTGATCCTCCGCAATGATCTTCCTGATGTCATTACTTCCCAAGTAGACATCAACGCGGACGACACTACTATTTACTCCTACCTCAATAGTAAACCCGGTATCCCTGACAAAACTAACCGGGCCGTTGGTCCCGAAAAGGACATCCAATCTGTCGTTGACTGGGGCAGAAAATGGCTAAACATTAATGTCTCCAAAACGAAACTGCTCTCATTTACCGACGATAGAGAACCCTCTCTACTTCACATCAGAATGGCAGACGCCCAACTCCACGAGAGCGCCTCTCTGTGCCTTCTTTGTCCCAGAACACCTCTCTGCGCCTTCTTGTTCCCAGAACGCCTCTCTGCGCCTTCTTGGTCCCAGAGCGCCTTCTTGGTCCCAGAGCGCCTCTTTGCTCATTCATGGTCCCAGAGCCCCTCTCTGTACCTTCTTGGTCCCAGAGCGCCTTTCTGTACCTTCTTGGTCCCAGAGCGCCTCTCTGTGCGCTATCTTGGTCCCAAAGCGCCTCTCTGCGCCTTGTTAGTTCCAAAGCACCTCTCTGCGCCTTCTTGTTCCAAGAGCGCCTCCATGCGCCTTTTTGGTCCCAGAGCGCCCCTCTGTGCTTCCTTGTTCTAGAGCGCCTCTCTGTGCCTTCTTGGTCCCAGAGCGCCTCTCTGTGCCTTCTTGGTCTCACGATTTCCACGGATCTGAGGCGGAACAACAACATTGAATCAATAGCTTCATCTACCGCTAGGAAAGTTGGTTCTCTGAGTCGCGCCAGAAACTTTTTCTCGCCTGAGACCATTGTGCAAATCTACAAATCGCCCTTGCATGGAATACTGCTGCCATATATGGTCTGGTGCCCCCGTTCATTCTCGACAAAATCCAGAGACGGATATGCTACGTGATTTTTTTCTGATCAGGCATCTCGTCTATAGTCACTTTATGATACACGTGCCGTAGCTTCCCTCTGTCTTTTCTACAAATATTTTCATGGCAACTGCGACGAGCTACTTTCTTTGGTTCCCAAACTGCATGAATTTAAGCATGGTTGGCATATCGATCCCACTCTTTCACTCTCGAAACAGTTAAATGTAACTGCCTCTTCTACTCCAATAGCTTCTTCTCTTGCACTTCCCGTCAGTGTAACTCCCTTCCTCTTACTTGCTTCTCTGATAACTTATAATCTTCAAATATTCAAATGTAATGTCAATCGATATCATCTGATGGTTTGGTCTTGATCCCCGTCCTTCTTGGTCCCAGCGCCTTTCTGTGCCTTCTTGGTCCCAGAGCGCCTTACTGTGCCTTAGTGATCCCAGAGCGACTCTCTGTGCCTTCTTGGTCCCAGAGGGCCTCTCTGTGCCTTCTTGGTCCCAGAGCGCCTCTCTGTGCCTTCTTGGTCCCAGAGCGCCTCTCTGTGCCATCTTGGTCCCAGAACGCCTCTCTGTACTTTCTTGGTCCCAGAGCGCCTCTTAAATGTAGCCGTCTCTTCTACTCCAATAGCTTCTTCTCTCGCACTTCCCGTCAGTGGAACTCCCTTCCTCTTACTTGCTTCTCTGATAGCTATAATCTTCAAATATTCAAATGTAATGTCAATCGATATCATCTGATGGTTTGGTCTTGATCCCCGTCCTTCTCTATATCCTTTCCGCAAACACCCATCTGTAATCCCGCCCTCCATCTCTGCAACCCCTTGCATGCTAGTGGTTCTCTCGTCTTGCCTGGGGTGATATGCTTAAAAGAAAAAAAACCAACTTCCTGTCCTTTGTAGCTTTTAGCCCTGCCCCTCTTAATAATAATTAGAGATTTTCGAAAGTATAAAAGTGAAACATTTCTCTTGTATGTGCCATAAACCTCCAGGACGTGGGCGATCATGGTTCTCCACAACTTCCAGACTTTGTAGCTTTTCGTACTGTTTGTTCTGATAATGACTAGAGATAACTAAAAGTATAAAATAAAACATTCTTCTTGTATGTACCGGGTCCATTTAGGACATGGGCATACACGGCTTTCCACAATTTCCTTTTATTTGTAGCTCTTGATAAATGTTTTCTTTTTGTTAGCTCAGCTATACCCTTGTTAGGAAGGTCTGACCCTCTTGGCTTCAATAGGTCCTGTGAGTGTTAAATTTTCCAAACCTTCTTGCCTCATAATGTGTCCTAGAAATTACAATTGTTTTTGTTTTTTGCTTTTTTTATTCTAAGTATAGGGGTTATTTTTGTTTCCATTTTCTCTGAAACGTCGTTGTTTCTCACATGTTCGGTCGATGGTATTCTCATTATCCTTCTGTAGACCCACATTTCTGCTACTCTTTTTCATCTGTGAAGAGATTTCCCTGCATGCACTGCTGCATAGGAGGATTGGTGTCACGTAACAATTCAGTGATGTTTTCTTTGTTACTGGTGATATTTTCCTGTTTCTTAATACTTGATGCTTAGCTTTTGGAAGGCATCTTTCGCTATGCCTCTGCGCTTTCCGATTTCGTTGTCCTCCTCTTGATAGATTTTTAAATCTGTGCAACTGCTTGATTTTGGTGTCCCTTATTTGTAGTTCGCAGCTTCGTCTACCCCTTTTGCTGACAACCAGATATTCTCCGTTCTTTCAATTAATTGATAACCCTTACTTCTAGCTTTCGTTTATTAACTTTTGCAAGTGTATCTATTGTTTACTTTCCGTGCCTGCTATCAACAATCTGCCATTTTTGATATCTTAGTATTAAAAGTGGAGCCACTAATGATGAACGCTACAGACTATCTGTTCAAAAAAACAATCTTTGTAACAGCAAAAGTGTCCAAATCGTGTAACAGCATGCTATAATTGTCCATCCCGCAAAATATTTAATATCTAAAAAAAAAAAGAAACACTAAACTAATTGAGTTTCTCTTTTCCAGGATTTCAGATGAGACATTTAGCCATCTTGACACCATTTGTCGTAAGAATCACTGGAAAACCCTTTGAATTATTCACTTAGAAAGAGAATAGGTTAAAATCGTTTGGTGACAACCCCACTATGTCTTCCGAACTGAGCAATAGGTCAATTTATTAAAGAGAATCCCAGTACTATTCGTGGTTCCAGAGCGCCTCTCTGCGCCTTCTTGGTCCCAGAGCACCTCTCTGGGCCTTCTTGGTCCCAAAGCGAACAATGTGCCTTCTTGGTCCCAGAGCACCTCTCTGAGACTTCTTGGTCCCAGAGCACCTCTCTGCGCCATCTTGGTCCCAAAGCGAACTATGTGCCTTCTTGGTCCCAGAGCACCTCTCTGCGCCTTCTTGGTCCCAAAGCGAACTATGTGCCTTCTTGGTCCCAGAGCACCTCTCTGCGCCTTCTTGGTCCCAAAGCGAACTATGTGCCTTCGTGGTCCCAGAGCACCTCTCTGCGCATTCTTGGTCCCAAAGCGAACTATGCGCCTTCTTGGTCCCAGAGCACCTCTCTGAGCCTTCTTGGTCCCAAAGCGAACTATGTACCATCTTGGTCCCAGAGCACCTCTCTGAGCCTTCTTGGTCCCAAAGCGAACTATGTACCATCTTGGTCCCAGAGCACCTCTCTGCGCCTTCTTGGTCCCAAAACGAACTATGTGCCTTCTTGGTCCCAGAGCACCTCTCTGCGCCTTCTTGGTCCCAAAGCGAACTATGCGCCTTCTTGGTCCCAGAGAACCTCTCTGAGCCTTCTTGGTCCCAAAGCGAACTATGTGCCTTCTTGGTCCCAGAGCACCTCTGCGCCTTCTTGGTCCCAGAGCACCTCTCTGCGCCTTCTTGGAACCAAGGAGAACTATGTGCCTTCTTGGTCCCAGAGCACCTCTCTGCGCCTTCTTGGTCCCAAAGCGAACTATGTCCCTTCTTGGTCCCAGAGCACCTCTCTGCGCCTTCTTGGTCCCAAAGCGAACTATGTGACTTCTTGGTCCCAGAGCACCTCTCTGCGCCTTCTTGGTCCCAAAGCGAACTATGTGCCTTCTTGGTCCCAGAGCACATCTCTGCGCCTACTTGGTCCCAAAGCGAACTATGTGCCTTCGTGGTCCCAGAGCACCTCTCTGCGCCTTCTTGGTCCCCAAAGCGAACTATGTGCCTTCTTGGTCCCCAGAGCACCTCTCTGCGCCTTCTTGGTCCCAAAGCGAACTATGTGCCTTCTTGGTCCCAGAGCACCTCTGCGCCTTCTTGGTCCCCCCAAAGCGAACTATGTGCCTTCTTGGTCCCCAGAACACCTCTCTGCGCCTTCTTGGTCCCAAAGCAAACTATGTGCCTTCTTGGTCCCAGAGCACCTCTCTGCGCCTTCTTGGTCCCAAAAGCAGACTATGTGCCTTCTTGGTCCCAGAGCACCTCTCTGCGCCTTCTTGGTCCCAAAGCAGACTACGCGCCTTCTTGGTCCCAGAGCACCTCTCTGAGCCTTCTTGGTCCCAAAGCGAACTATGTACCATCTTGGTGCCAGAGCACCTCTCTGCGCCTTCTTGGTCCCCAAAGCGAACTATGTGCCTTCTTGGTCCCAGAGCACCTCTCTGCGCCTTCTTGGTCCCAAAGCGAACTATGTGCCTTCTTGGTCCCAGAGCACCTCTCTGCGCCTTCTTGGTCCCAAAGCGAACTATGTGCCTTCTTGGTCCCAGAGCACCGCTCTGCGCCCTTCTGGTCCCCAAAACGAACTATGCGCCTTCTTGGTCCCAGAGCACCTCTCTGAGCCTTCTTGGTCCCAAAGCGAACTATGTGCCTTCTTGGTCCCAGAGCACCACTCTGCGCCTTCTTGGTCCCAAAGCGAACTATGTGCCTTCTTGGTCCCAGAGCACCTCTCTGCGCCGTCTTGGTCCCAAAGCGAACTATGCGCCTTCTTGGTCCCAGAGCACCTCTCTGAGCCTTCTTGGTCCCAAAGCGAACTATGTGCCTTCTTGGTCCCAGAGCACCTCTCTGCGCCTTCTTGGTCACAGAGCACCTCTCTGCGCCTTCTTGGAACCAAAGAGAACTATGTGCCTTCTTGGTCCCAGAGCACCTCTCTGCGCCTTCTTGGTCCCCAAAGCGAACTATGTCCCTTCTTGGTCCCAGAGCACCTCTCTGTGCCTTCTTGGTCCCAAAGCGAACTATGTGCCTTCTTGGTCCCAGAGCACCTCTCTGCGCCTTCTTGGTCCCAAAAGCGAACTATGTGCCTTCTTGGTCCTAGAGCACATCTCTGCGCCTACTTGGTCCCAAAGCGAACTATGTGCCTTCGTGGTCCCCAGAGCACCTCTCTGCCCTTCTTGGTCCCAAAGCGAACTATGTGCCTTCTTGGTCCCAGAGCACCTCTCTGCGCCTTCTTGGTCCCCAAAGCGAACTATGTGCCTTCTTGGTCCCAGAGCACCTCTCTGCGCCTTCTTGGTCCCAAAGGAACTATGTGCCTTCTTGGTCCCAGAGCACCTCTCTGCGCCTTCTTGGTCCCAAAAACAAACTATGTGCCTTCTGGTCCCAGAGCACCTCTCTGCGCCTTCTTGGTCCCAAAGCGAACTATGTGCCTTCTTGGTCCCAGAGCACCTCTCTCAGCCTTCTTGGTCCCCCAAAGCCGAACTACGCGCCTTCTTGGTCCCAGAGCACCTCTCTGAGCCTTCTTGGTCCCCAAAGGAACTATGTACCATCTTGGTGCCAGAGCACCTCTCTGCGCCTTCTTGGTCCCAAAGCGAACTATGTGCCTTCTTGGTCCCAGAGCACCTCTCTGCGCCTTCTTGGTCCCAAAGCAGACTATGTGCCTTCTTGGTCCCAGAGCACCTCTGCGCCTTCTTGGTCCCAAAGCGAACTATGTGCCTTCTTGGTCCCAGAGCACCGCTCTGCGCCTTCTTGGTCCCCAAAGCGAACTATGCGCCTTCTTGGTCCCAGAGCACCTCTCTGAGCCTTCTTGGTCCCAAAGCGAACTATGTGCCTTCTTGGTCCCAGAGCACCTCTCTGCGCCTTCTTGGTCCCAAAGCAGAACTATAGCCTTCTTGGTCCCAGAGCACCTCTCTGCGCCTTCTTGGTCCCCCAAGCGAACTATGCACCTTCTTGGTCCCAGAGCACCTCTGAGCCTTCTTGGTCCCAAAGCGAACTATGTGCCTTCTGGTCCCAGAGCACCTCTCTGCGCCTTCTTGGTCCCAGAGCACCTCTCTGCGCCTTCTTGGAACCAAAGAGAACTATGTGCCTTCTTGGTCCCAGAGCACCTCTCTGCGCCTTCCTGGTCCCAAAGCGAACTATGTGCCTTCTTGTCCCAGAGCACCTCTCTGCGCCTTCTTGGTGCCAAAGTGAACTATGTGCCTTCTTGGTCCCAGAGCACATCTCTGCCTACTTGGTCCCAAAGCGAACTATGTGCCTTCGTGGTCCCAGAGCACCTCTCTGCCTTTCTTGGTCCCAAAGCGAACTATGTGCCTTCTTGGTCCCAGAGCACCTCTCTGCGCCTTCTTGGTCCCAAAGCCCAGACTATGCCTTCTTGGTCCCAGAGCACCTCTCTGCGCCTTCTTGGTCCCAAAGCAAACTATGTGCCTTTTGGTCCCAGAGCACCCTCTGCGCCTTCTTGGTCCCCAAAGCGAACTATGTGCCTTCTTGGTCCCAGAGCACCTCTCTGCTTTCTTGGTCCCAAAGCGAACTACGCGCCTTCTTGGTCCCAGAGCACCTCTCTGAGCCTTCTTGGTCCCAAAGCGAACTATGTACCATCTTGGTGCCAGAGCACCTCTCTGCGCCTTCTTGGTCCCAAAGCGAACTATGTGCCTTCTTGGTCCCAGAGCACCTCTCTGCGCCTTCTTGGTCCCAAAGCGAACTATGTGCCTTCTTGGTCCCAGAGCACCTCTCTCTGCGCCTTCTTGGTCCCAAAGCGAACTATGCGCCTTCTTGGTCCCAGAGCACCTCTCTGAGCCTTCTTGGTCCCAAAGCGAACTATGTGCCTTCTTGGTCCCAGAGCACCTCTCTGCGCCTTCTTGGTCCCAGAGCACCTCTCTGCGCCTTCTTGGAACCAAAGAGAACTATGTGCCTTCTTGGTCCCAGAGCACCTCTCTGCGCCTTCTTGGTCCCAAAGCGAACTATGTGCCATCTTGGTCCCAGAGCACCTCTGTGAGCCTTCTTGCTCCCAAAGCGAACTATGTGCCTTCTTGGTCCCAGAGCACCTCTCTGCGCCTTCTTGGTCCCAAAGCGAACTATGTGCCTTCTTGGTCCCAGAGCACACTCTGCTGCGCCTTCTGGTCCCAAAGCGAACTACGCGCCTTCTTGGTCTCAGAGCACCTCTCTGAGCCTTCTTGGTCCCAAAGGAACTATGTACCATCTTGGTGCCAGAGCACCTCTCTGCGCCTTCTTGGTCCCAAAGCGAACTATGTGCCTTCTTGGTCCCAGAGCACCTCTCTGCGCCTTCTTGGTCCCAAAGCGAACTATGTGCCTTCTTGGTCCCAGAGCACCTCTCTGCGCCTTCTTGGTCCCAAAGCGAACTATGTGCCTTCTTGGTCCCAGAGCACCGCTCTGCGCCTTCTTGGTCCCAAAGCGAACTATGCGCCTTCTTGGTCCCAGAGCACCTCTCTGAGCCTTCTTGGTCCCAAAAGCGAACTATGTGCCTTCTGGTCCCAGAGCACCTCTCTGCGCCTTCTTGGTCCCAAAGCGAACTATGTGCCTTCTTGGTCCCAGAGCACCTCTCTGCGCCTCTCTGGTCCCAAAGCGAACTATGCGCCTTCTTGGTCCCAGAGCACCTCTCTGAGCCTTCTTGGTCCCAAAGCGAACTATGTGCCTTCTGGTCCCAGAGCACCTCTCTGCGCCTTCTTGGTCCCAGAGCACCTCTCTGCGCCTTCTTGGAACCAAAGAGAACTATGTGCCTTCTTGGTCCCAGAGCACCTCTCTGCGCCTTCCTGGTCCCAAAGCGAACTATGTGCCTTCTTAGTCCCAGAGCACCTCTCTGCGCCTTCTTGGTGCCAAAGTGAACTATGTGCCTTCTTGGTCCCAGAGCACATCTCTGCGCCTACTTGGTCCCAAAGCGAACTATGTGCCTTCGTGGTCCCAGAGCACCTCTCTGCGCCTTCTTGGTCCCAAAGCGAACTATGTGCCTTCTTGGTCCCAGAGCACCTCTCTGCGCCTTCTTGGTCCCAAAGCGAACTATGTGCCTTCTTGGTCCCAGAGCACCTCTCTGCGCCTTCTTGGTCCCAAAGCAAACTATGTGCCTTTTGGTCCCAGAGCACCTCTCTGCGCCTTCTTGGTCCCAAAGCGAACTATGTGCCTTCTTGGTCCCAGAGCACCTCTCTGCGCTTTCTTGGTCCCAAAGCGAACTACGCGCCTTCTTGGTCCCAGAGCACCTCTCTGAGCCTTCTTGGTCCCAAAGCGAACTATGTACCATCTTGGTGCCAGAGCACCTCTCTGCGCCTTCTTGGTCCCAAAGCGAACTATGTGCCTTCTTGGTCCCAGAGCACATCTCTGCGCCTTCTTGGTCCCAAAGCGAACTATGTGCCTTCTTGGTCCCAGAGCACCTCTCTGCGCCTTCTTGGTCCCAAAGCGAACTATGCGCCTTCTTGGTCCCAGAGCACCTCTCTGAGCCTTCTTGGTCCCAAAGCGAACTATGTGCCTTCTTGGTCCCAGAGCACCTCTCTGCGCCTTCTTGGTCCCAGAGCACCTCTCTGCGCCTTCTTGGAACCAAAGAGAACTATGTGCCTTCTTGGTCCCAGAGCACCTCTCTGCGCCTTCTTGGTCCCAAAGCGAACTATGTGCCATCTTGGTCCCAGAGCACCTCTGTGAGCCTTCTTGCTCCCAAAGCGAACTATGTGCCTTCTTGGTCCCAGAGCACCTCTCTGCGCCTTGTTGGTCCCAAAGCGAACTATGTGCCTTCTTGGTCCCAGAGAACCTCTCTGAGCCTTCTTGGTCCCAAATCGAACTATGTGCCTTCTTGGTCCCCAGGTCCCTGAGCAAAGCGAACTCTCTGCCCAGAGAACCCTCTTCCTTGGTCCCAAAATGAACTATGTGCCTTCTTGGTCCCAGAGCACCTCTCTGCGCCTTTTTGGTCCCAAAGAGAACTATGTGCCTTCTTGGTCCCAGAGCACTTTTCTGCGCCTTCTTGGTCCCAAAGCGAACTATGTGCCATCTTGTTTCCAGAGCACCTCTCTGAGTCTTCTTGGTCCCAAAGCGAACTATGTACCTTCTTGGTCCCAGAGCACCTCTCTGCGCCTTCTGGGTCCCAGAGCACATCTCTGCGCCTTCTTGGACCCAAAGAGAACTATTTGCCTTCTTGGTCCCAGAGCACCTCTCTGCGCCTTCTTGGTCCCAAAGCGAACTATGTGCCTTCTTGGTCCCAGAGCACCTCTCTGCGCCTTCTTGGTCCCAAAGCGAACTATGTGCCTTCTTGGTCCCAGAGCACCTCTCTGCGCCTTCTTTGTCCCAAAGCGAACTATGTGCCTTCTTGGTCCCAGAGCACCTCTCTGCGCCTTCTTGGTCCCAAAGAGAACTCTGTGCCTTCTTGGTCCCAGAGCACCTCTCTGCGCCTTCTTGGTCCCAAAGCGAACTATGTACCATCTTGGTCCCAGAGCACCTCTCTGAGTCTTCTTGGTCCCAAAGCGAACTATGTACCTTCTTGGTCCCAGAGCACCTCTCTGCGCCTTCTGGGTCCCAGAGCGAACTATGTGCCTTCTTAGTCCCAGAGCACATCTCTGCGCCTTCTTGGTCCCAAAGCGAACTATGTACCATCTTGGTCCCAGAGCACCTCTCTGCGCCTTCTTGGTCCCAAAGCGAACTATGTGCCTTCTTGGTCCCAGAGCACCTCTCTGCGCCTTTTTTGTCCCAAAGCGAACTATGTGCCTTCTTGGCCCCAGAGCACCTCTCTGCGCCTTCTTGGTCCCAAAGCAAACTATGTGCCTTCTTGGTCCCAGAGCACCTCTCTGCGCCTTCTTGGTCCCAAAGCGAACTATGTGCCTTCTTGGTCCCAGAGCACCTCTCTGAGCCTTCTTGGTCCCAAAGCGAACTATGTACCTTCTTGGTCCCAGAGCACCTCTCTGAGCCTTCTTGGTCCCAAAGCGAACTATGTACCTTCTTGGTCCCAGAGCACCTCTCTGCGCCTTCTTGGTGCCAAAGCGAACTATGTGCCTTCTTGGTCCCAGAGCACCTCTCTGCGCCTTCTTGGTCCCAAAACGAACTATGTGCCTTCTTGGTCCCAGAGCACCTCTCTGCGCCTTCTTGGTCCCAAAACGAACTATGTGCCTTTTTGATCCCAGAGCACCTCTCTGAGCCTTCTTGGTCCCAAAGCGAACTATCTACCATCTTGGTCCCAGAGCACCTCTCTGCGCCTTCTTGGTCCCAAATCGAACTATGTGCCTTCTTGGTCCCAGAGCACCTCTCTGCGCCTTCTTGGTCCCAAAGCGAACTATGTGCCTTCTTGGTCCCAGAGCACCTCTCTGCGCCTTCTTGGTCCCAAAGCGAACTATGTGCCTTCTTGGTCCCAGAGCTCCTCTCTGCGCCTTCTTGGTCCCAAAGCGAACTATGTGCCTTTTTGATCCCAGAGCAACTCTCTGCGCCTTCTTGGTCCCAGAGCACCACTCTGTGCCTTCTTGGTGTTTCAGAAGCTGCGAACTACAAGTAAGGGACACCAAAATCAAGCAAGCAATTTAAAAATTGTCTTTCA